GCTCTGCTTCTGATTCTTCCAACCATTTCACTCTGCCTCAGAAGCCTCATTCGTAATGGGGCTCAGTGATAAGCCTTATCATGAAGTACAGGAATATTAGGCACAATAACAAGAAATAAATTGGAAAATGTTCAGATTGCTTCCTACGGCTATACACAAGGTGAACCTAACCAACCCAAGCCCTGGTTACAATTGAACATGAGGGTGGCTGCAAGCTGCCTTTCCACATTTTTATTCTCCGCTTCCATGCACTAAATTATTCCCTCAACAGTCACTAATGACCAAGCTGCTACCCTGTACTAGGATTTAAGGTTATAAAGGGAAATAAATAATATTCTCTTTGTGTAAGTTGTTCACAGACGATGTGGAAGGCAGATACTAAAAATAATGATGAATTGAGAAGTGCTATGATAAAGATATTAATAAAGCATTACTGAGGGGCAGGAGGGGGAGTCCCCCAGCCATTTCCTAAATATACCCCCATCCTTTGCTTAATTTGCTTATTTCACTTGGAAAGCCCCCTTTCCAGCCCTGACCCTCAAGCCACATCTCTTGAAATATTGACCATTCTTTAAATCCAGGTCAAATGCCATTTTTTTCAACAAAGTAGTTCCTAATCTTAAAATTTGGAATTAATCCTTCTATTCTGTGTCTTTCTATACCACTTTTTAATATTTCTGTTTACCCCAGTTAGTTTTTTTGTTTGTTTGTTTGTTTGTTTTATCCTCACCCGAGGACATTTTTCCATTTTTTTGTTCTGATAGAGTGGGAGGGACAGAGAAAGAGAAACATCGACGTGAAAGGGACACATAGGGTGCTGCCACCCGCACGACCAACCAGGGTTGGGGACAAACTGCAACCGAGGTACGCGCCCTTAGCGGGAACCAAACCCAGGTCTCTCTGGACCGCAGGCTGATGCTCTAACCGCTGAGCCAAACTGGCCAGGACCCAATTAGTTTTTTAAAACAAAATTATGTATGGTGTCTATCATTAGATTGTAAACTCCTTTGACAACAGGGTTGAGTCCTAATTCATCTTTGGTCTCCCACAGGCCTGAACCTGGAGGCTTCTTAAAATGTACTCAGGGACTGTTCATCCAGAACAACTAATCTGCAGTCTCTTTTAGGATCCCAAGCGAGGGGACTCTGCTTCATCTGGCAGTGGTGAATCCTTGTATATACATGCCAAAAATGCTTGTTTGAAGAGGCATAAAATAAATGGCCTTTGACCTAAAATGACCCAATCATTCTTCCCATCTCTTTCTACATGTAGGCAAAGAACAGGCAAAAATCAACACCCCCCCCCAAAAAAAAACAAACCCTCAAATTAATCAATGATTTTTCAATTTGATTTCATTTAACCCAACATCTTATTTACAAATGGAGAAACTAAGTCCCAAGAGATTTGGATACTTCTTTGATATCACATAGATAGAATCATCAATATCAAATTTTGTGACCCTTAAAGTCAAAGCTCTTTCTAATAGACCAAATAGTTTACTTTAATAATAAAAGACGAAGAAAAGTATGTTTGTTTGTTTTTTTTTAAATGCACTAAATGTATAAAGAATAGGAATTCATTGAAAACCTATATGCATTATAGGAAAAAAATGTTGTTATCAGTCCATTTGCCCATAAAGACTATCATGCTTTCACTAAGAGCAAAAATGTTTGTAGAGTTTAAAGGTTTAATTTAAAAATCTGACTGTTGCAATTTCCAGGTCCTTTATCCTTAATGTCCCTAATCACTCTATGCAGTGGGCAATGAAATTTGTTCTGAGGTTCTTCTCCAAGGTATTTCAATTTGTTGAGTGATACTGGTCATTAACACGTGTTCTTAACAGCTGTGGAAGTAAAATAATACACCAAGGCTTTGTGGAGAGGTGCACACTCACACATGTCCTCTCCCATCACAACTAAGCAAATGCAACAGATGCATTCACGTCTGACACAGTTGATTTGGACCCAGGTCTGCTATTATTGTCAGAACGCCTGCTGTTTCCCTGCCCATTGCCATGTCACTGCTGCCCCAGCCCCATCCTGATAGTTTTGACACTACCTTACAGATGCCCCAGATTAGTACATGCAAGCGCACACGTGGATATGCGTGCACACACAAAATAGGTCTAAGCGCAAAGTTTAAAACTTACTGGGTTCCAATAACAGAATTCTACTTAATATCCCAATTGTAAACAAGGAAATATATATGTATATACAGGGGTGGGCAAAAGTAGGCTTACAGTTTCAATATAAATAAGTAATGCAAATAACAATAATGCAAGAAAAAAACTGTTTCACATGCTCGCAACTGTAAACTTACTTTTGCCCACTCCTGTGTTACTCAGATGTATAATATGTGCACATATACATGCATTAATTTATCTCTTTACAGTGAAACATAATCACTCAGATAAAGACTACTTAGTTTTAGGGGGTGGAAGGAGGCAAAAGAGGATATAGGGGGGATAAATGGTGATGAAAGGAGACTTGACTTGGGGTGGTGAACACACAGTACAGTGTACAGATGATGTATTGTAGAATTATACACCTGAAACCTATATAATTTTATTAACCAATGTCACCCCAATAAATCTAACAAGTGTGTTTAAAAAAAGACTACTTAGTTTTAAAAATTCTTTTATTTGTTGCAGAGGACAGTCTGCGAAAACCGGTTTTCAATTAGAGACTTACCCCCCCACCCCCTCACCCCCGCCCATACACAGCTGCTCTGCACTTCCCAAGGTCCCCTTAAGGGCAAAAGGACAGTGCATGAGTTTTGGAGCTGACTACGCAGAGGTTTAAATGTTAGTTCTGCTATCTACTATTTGAGGAAATTTCTTAACCTCACTGAACAACAATTTCCTCATTTCCAAAATGAGGATATTAATACCTATCTCGGATGTGTAAGGATTCCAGCTAATGTATGCCACTGGGTGCTGCATGGGAGTGCTCAGTAAATAACAGGGATAATGAAGGTGATGATGAGGGGGAAGAGAAAGAGAGAAGGGGGAGGAAGATGGTAGCCTCTACTTCCTAAATGCCTTCTGTATTTCTTAGCAAGGCTTGGCAGAACTTAACTGCTAGCATTTAGCCAGGGAATATACGCTTGAGGTAGGAAATATATGCTTGATGGGGCAGGGGTGTGAAAAGGGTAGCTAGCACTTAATATGTGATTTTCTTGTCTTGAGCTTATATATACATATATATACTTCCACTGCTGGGAAAAGGGCATTCACAATAGGGAATTCAGCATCTTTAGAAGAGTCAAGGCTTTTTTTTTTTTTTTGCTTAGAAGGACCAGATTTTACTAAACAGGGTGAACATATTCCTGTATCATTGAATTTCCAGTTACTGCAGTAGGTCCCGGCTGTTTGCAATCCCTGGCAATTCTGGTTACTGTGAGATACCCAATAGACTGCAGAACAAATGCTTAGCTCCTTTCTGGAGCCCTGGAGTCAGTGTGTACTGCTAAGCCACAGGCAGAGCTGCTGCTATGGTCTGAAATGTTCAAAGTGCAACAGGAAGGAGGAAGCCCCAACCTACTTTGGATATGGCCTGAATGACAGAGCCATTAAGGGCCTGCCTAATATGCCATTCTGTTTGCAAACATATAGTACCTACCTGCCATACCTTTTAACAAAACAATCCATCAGAATGCCTGATGGCAAATGACTAATGTTAAAAGAGGCCTGTGTATCATTCCAGTGATGACTCCACAGGCATCAATTAAACAAGGAGAAGACGTACTCTGAAGCATGACCATCTGGCACTTCCCAAGGAGCAGTGGTCAATGGCTGATAAAACACAAGAGGTCATGGCTATACAGAAATTTAGCAGCCCTCTCCATGCTCAAAATCAGCAGGAGCCCATGAGGACAATGAACCTGGAAGAACTCCAAAATTAGAGGTAAGGAAAAGGCTGCATCTGAAGCCAGCACTGCTTTTCCTCATTCATAGAAAGCAAAGATCTGGGGTTGCATGAGGTCATCTTTTAGCCACCAAAAGGCAGACTGTTTCCAGGAATGCTTGGGAATTTGTCTGGTAGGCTAGGGGTGAAGTCAATTGTTATGTCTCCAGGTGAGAGAAAGGATTGGCAGTAGTCCATCCTCTGCTTCCATGAGTGCTTTCCAAGTACCAGCATCTAGGATTGTGTCCAGCACATGAGGCCAAGAGCACTGTAGTCTAAATGTCCTTCCCTAGAAACCATGTTTTTACTGGCTTTTGAGTAGATGGAAGAGGACAACTTAAAAAATCTAATGAGAGTAATGTCAAGTTATAAAACCCCCAAGAGCAAGAGACTAGCTGAAGCAGAAGTGCTTTTCAAGGCTGTGGTTCAAGATCAGTCTGGCAGATACCTGTATATATAGACAGGGCTTCAAACACCACCGCCCCATCACACCTAATGACTGTCTGTGATAAGAACTTGCATTCTCTACTTCTGGCTTTTCTAACAATAAAAATGTGTGTCTTTATACTCAGCCTTGGTTCTGAACCTATTCTTTAAGGCTAATTTGTTTTTGTTTTTTTGTTTTTTGTTTTTCCTTTAACATGCAAGGTCAGATAAATCAGAAAGAAAATACTTTTCAGTTTTAATTTTGATCCAAATCTAAAATTATTAATGACATTTTATTCCTCACTCTTTTTCTGTAAGTGATTCAAGTACATACACCCCTCACATACCCTGGCCCCAACATTAAGAAGTTAATATTCTTAGAACAAGGCTATCGAGTAAAAACAAAACAAAAAGACACAAACAATAAACAACAAAAACAAAAAAACACAATGCTTTCATTCTCCCGAGTCTCTTTTGCCAACCATGTAGTGTACTTAAATCTCTTTACAGCAGATGCTTCAGTGTTAAGTTTTCAGTTTGCAAATAAAAAGAGGTTTTGTTAAGGTTACTGACAATTATTTTCTCAGCACAATAGAAAAGCAACCCAACCCATTAACAACACTGTAATGGCAGAAGCAAACGCAGTGGGAACAAGTAGGAATAGAATACCTGGGATTGCCAAATTGGAAAGGGGGACGTTGTGGAGGTGAGGGGGCAGCGAGGCCATCCAGTCGGCATTGCAGACCTCCGATGATGTCTTTGTCCCACTGGGGTTGGGGGAACAGATGGTCCCCATCCTGAGTTTCCTCCTTACCTTCCTCACTGCTAGCATCCCTCTCTGTCAGTCAACAAACTGCCCAGCTCAGTCCAGTGCCACTCACTCAGTGGTCATCATTGCCCAAGGCTCTCTAGGCATTTCAGAGCCACCTTTGTCACACTAGTCTTGCCAAAAGGCCTTTCTGCCTGGGAAGACTGGACAAATAGTTGGTTTCCTGCCCTCCAGCACCCGCAGTTCCCACCCTCTCCGGCCCAGCTGCCGGTCCACTCCCTGATCCGCTCAGTCTCGGCTCCGTTAAACTTCTTACGTTCCCCTCCGGAGCTCGGGGAAGGTACTAGGCCCCCAGAGGTAAATCTTACAGAAACTGAATGTCCGAGGGGCAGCCACGCCCGCAGCCACTCACAAGACAGGTGCCTTCCCAGCATCTAGACAAGCCGGTGGGTCGGTACACACGTGAGCGCCGGAACGCACCATCGTCAACCTGATTTAGGCTCCTAAGTATGTCACTGGGCGGGCACGTAAACTGAACCTGCCTTAATCCCCGGCTCCTCGGCACACACTCCCCCTGCCCTGTGCTTCCAGAAGCCGCTCCGAAGTGTACTCCGCGTCGCCCGGACTCCCGGCAGCCCCGCCCCGCACTGCCGGGCAGATTTGCCGGGCCAGGCGGCCCGTGATTGGCCGGTGGCGGAGCGCGCTGCGATTGGCCCGCGCCCTGGAGGGCTCCCGCCCCTCCGCTGCCCCAGTCTCCTCCCCCGGTTACTCCCGCCTGCCTGTGCGCAGACAGACGCCGCTGCAGGGACTGCGGGCAGGACAGCTTGCAGGCTGGGGTCACTTGGACCTAAGCCAGGTCTTGTTTCCTCTAGTTTCGTGGAGCCAGCACTAGATGTTAAACGCGACCATACATGTTTCTTTCCCCTCAACATTCATCCACATACAGCAATGACAATTACACAAAGTATTACGTGTTCAGTAAACCACAATGGCAGCAGACATACAGAGGTAAAGAGGACGAGAAGGATGCTGTATCTTATCATTGGATGACAACGCCAAGGATGGTTTGTGTTTCAGCCATTGTTACATAATTAAGATTTACCTACACACCACTTATTCTCATTTTACAGAGAAGGAAATAGTGATACTTTACATGTGTATCGCCCTGTCTTTTGGAACCTTCTTTCAAATTCTTTGTCCCATTTGCTCTTCACAGTACCCCCATAAGGCAGGAAGGTCCTCTTTTTGTAGGTGCAATGGAAGTCTGCGGACATTCAGAGAGCCGTTCACACGGTAGTACTGTTTGGAAATCTCAGTTTGGAAGGAGGTTTGTAAGCACACAAACCTATTTTCCTGCAATGTTCCTTACTCCTCCAAATGATACTTTTTCATGGTGGTGAACTATAGGATCTCTAATGATATGAGAACTTTGCACGTGGATAATCGTAGGAACATCTTGGCAAACTGGCAAATCAGGAAAAACACCCTGGCCTTGAGGGTAGGGTCCTGGAGGGCTTCAGGCCAGACTGCTCTTCAGTGACTCATGAGGGGTTTATGGGAAAAGGAAAAAGAAACCTTTGCTAAGAGGACTGAAAGTCCATATAGTGATCTGTGAGTCAGGTGACATTTAATCACCAAGTGGCCCCTCCTCATCTCCAAGGTAACTCCACAGCAGGGTCTGGCCACCTTTCCATAGGAATAACTGCACATTTCTCCCGTTGAACATCCTTATGAGAATTTCCTCTTCCAGGCTATTCTTAACACTCATGTAAGCCTGCTCTCAGTCTTTAGAGCTGCATATATTATCAACACTTTCCTTTTCTTTTCTGAGGGAGTATCCCTTGGTTAATAAAAAGTGTACACTATTCATAATGTCTCTTCTAATGCTTAAAGGGCACTTCTATAAAGTGCTCTTTTTTCAAGCACATCACAGGATATTTGGGAATATGTCATCTAGTTGTTTAATAACATCCCCCCCCCCCCCTTGAAAATTACTCTGAAGGAATATTCCAAGATTTACCTTTGAAATTTCTGGGCTTCCCTTGAACTTACATTTTTAAATTCCCAAGCATAAAACTTCATGAATGCTGCCCAAGGCAAACAAAATGTGTTCTTTAAGTTCTACTGTGGAATGTTAATTTCAATGCTTTTTTTTTCTCCCCTTAATTTTCAGCTTTTAATGGAAGAAGTGAGCATATTAAGAAAGCATTAAACTTTATTATTATTTCTTTCTACTTCAAAAAGAATTTATTATTCACTTAGGTTCCCCATGATCTTATTTCAAATTTATTTTTACAATTTTTTGTAAAATACAATGCATGACAGAAAATGCATATCACAAATAGAAAGCATTAAACTTCAGACTTAAAAACATCACTGTGTGAGAACTTGAAAATAAGAGTAGTATCATTTCAGAATGAGATGTTCTGTACCTCTGACAGTGTTTTCAACCAAAACTACTTTACTTGCCCTAGAAAATGGTACAAAAGAAGATAATACTCTCTCCATATATTCTTGTGGCAATCCTGGAAGAAATTTTACAGATAGAAACATAGAATCTAGTGCAGTACATGGCATATAGCAGGTGCTCAATAAGTATTTGTTAGAAGGAGGGAGATACTCTGCTGGGTTCTAGCTAGTACCTTAGAACAGTGCTTTTCACATCTTATGTGCAGATCAATCAAATCCATCCCCATTAAGTTGGTCTGAGATAGGCATGGGATTCTGCATTTCTAGCAAGCTTCTGGCCTTGTTAGATGCTGATGCTGCTGTTTCAGACCACACTTTGAGTAGCAAGGCCTTTGAAAATAGGCTCATGTTTGACAAGTTGGACTCTGCATTGTTTTTTCTCCCTTTCCCAAGGTTTTATAATATCACTTTTATTATTTTAAAAATTTGCATAAAAATGCTAAGACTCTCTAAATATTAGAGAATAATTTTTCTGTCATAAAATGTAATAGAAACTAAATGATCAGTGAGATTTTTATACGATGCCACAAATATTTAGGGAATACATACTTCTAAAATAAAAATCAATATTTAAAATTTTGGATAGTTAATATTTTCTTAAATACTGTATTATGAATTTATCAAAGGAACAGGAGACTAAATTTATAGGCGGGTTGAAATTTTAAAGCAAGTCCATTGTAATTAATAATTACAACCAAACAGAGTGTTTAGTATTTAAAAATCATTCTGTTAGGTGCTAGAAAAAGAAGAAAGGTTAAATAAAAGTTGGTATCTGATGAACCTCGGATAATATATAATCTAAAAAAGAGAGTCAAATTTGTGAATTACACATTGTAATGGGAAACTAAAAGAAGGGATAACAGAGGTACATATAGAGGACAATGAAGAGACATCCATTTTGATGGGGGAAGGGCCAAGAATGCATTACTAGAGGAGGTGGTATCAAGCCAGGTCTGGAAAACTTTCTGCAAATGGAAGATGAGTGCAGGGTTCTGGAGAGGGAAAGAGGTATGCAGCTGAGAAAACATAAGCAAAGCTATGCCAGCAAGTGGGCGATGGGAAAAACAGCATGTGAAACAGCAGGAAGTATAACTCTTTTACTCTCACTGAACCTTCACAAGAGCTCAGTGACTTAGGTACCCTTCCCATCCCCATTTTACAAAGGACACTGAAGCTACAAAACTCTGCCCAAGATTCCATAGCTAGTAAGTGGCAGAGCTGGGACTATACATCTCTAGATCACTGTGCCAGTGGCTTCCCATTATATGTTATGTAGCATTATTGTGAGCTTGGTAAGGCTGACCAAAGTATATAAAAAGTTTGACTTTTTATTTCTGTGGACAAAATGGACCATTGTAGGTTTTTGAGAAGGGGAGTAAAATGATTCACATTGTACTTCGGGAAGATGATTCTGGCATGCTGAAGAATGGCTAGAGAAATACCCTCTTTCAGGTAAGTCCCTGAAATCAGTTATTTAAGCAAGAGAAAAGCGAGAAGTCCTGACACAGACTAAATGCACGGTTTTCTTCACTGTGGTGCTTGCCTCGTCTCCAAGGACCCGGAATTCTAGGGCCTGAGTGGACAGCCTAACCACCTCCGAAATTATTTTTTTATCACTTGAAAATCTCAGGAATTTGGTCTTCCATTTTCTGTGTACAACCAAACATGTGTATATGAATACATCTACAAATTTTATTTTCTTCTGGAAATTGTTTCTCCACTATTTGATCAAGGGTCCCACTGAATTGCTGAAGAGGTTACTGCAAGTTTTGCCCTCTCTTGGAGGCTACATTATACTTTGAAAGTGTCTATGGCTCATTTTCTTTGGAATCTTGCCATAAATGAACAGTGAGGGTCCAAGAGTGAGCATTTGGGCATGTCTGGTTGGCAAGGCTAGATGGCCTGGATTTTACCTGACTGAAGGCAACCTAAAAGCCTCAGAGGAGACATTCTGACTTAATGAAACTGCAGCCAGGCTTCTCTGGCCCTCACATCTGATACCCTGTACTGCCTTACCTCCCCGGCTGTGTGCTCAACGAGAATCAGAAGCCAGGCATTGTTTGGTCCAGAAATAATGCCTGGAGGGGAGTGTGGTTATATGATGCTTGGAGTTCCCCAGTGATGTGTCATTCAAAACATTTTTTTTTTTTCCGTGGGTGGAGGTTATGGGGAGGATAAGGAACTGAAGTGAAAAGCCAGGTAAATGAAAGATGGCTGGAGTATAAGGCTGCTTTGTTTTGTGCCTCATATCAGCAGAGTTTATTTATCCCTAGTCATCCCCAAACTTTTTCTCCAAATCAACTAAAAAAAGCAAAAAACTATGTGACCAGGATCAGAATAGAATAAAGAAATGTCATCAACATAGGTGGTGCTGGGGACAGGATGACAGCAGCGGCAATTACCTCCAGGAAGAGTGACATCATTGCAGCAACTTGGGACACTCAGGAGCCTCCGAGGAGGGGGCTGTGGAAGCGCTGACCCGTGAACACACTCCCCAGACATTCCTGACGTCGAGGGCACAGTCAGGTGCCGGGGATCCAGTTATTGTGCTGAACAGAGCTAGAGCTAGAGGCCACGATACTGTGACCCATTCCCTGATTATACCCAGGTGAGTGTCTTTGAGAAACTGAGTCAGAGCAGCACCAGCGTAAGCAGGAAGTCATCCTATGTGGTATCACTCATGTCCACCTGCTCTTTATGGCCCACAACTGGATACTGCCGGGAGACGAGTAAATAGCAGCGGTAACTGGCCAGAAGACTGTTTCTCCCAGATTTGAAAGCTTGATGTTCAAAGGTCTTGAGAGCCCTCTTCCTTTTATATTTATTGGACATCATTTTTTGGTGTATATTTCAAGGAAAATTTCCTTTAACAACAGAATAATGCTACTATGGTACTTTTGTGAGGTGCTAATAACAAGTGATCTCTGTCAACTTAATTTAATATCCATTTATAGTCATGTGCCACAAATGTGTCATAGGCAGTTTCATTATTGTGTGGACATCACAGAGTGCATTTATTTACTTATTTTTTATCCTCCCCCTAGGACATTTTTTTTTTTTTTGCATTTATCTTCAGATAGAGTGGGAGGGAGAGAGGAAGGAAGAGAGAGAGAGAGA